GATCTCAGCAGGGCAGGGTCAGGTTGTCAAGATCTCAGCAGGGCAGGTTACAGGTTGCCAAAATAGCGTAACCTACAGCCATCTAATCAGAACCAAGAAATGTTTTTCTGATCGGGGATCTATGAGATTTCATAGACTCTATGCGTAAAATCGTTCAAAGTCCTATGAAACTAAACAGAAATCTATAAAATTGCGTATAATCGTAGAACTATTGTCACCCTAAAAAATTGCGATTATTGATGAAATTTAAACGTCACAAAAGATCAGAAATTGAATTTTATTAACTCTAAATTATGATATGGAACTATAGGATTATACGTGGAGTTGTGCGAAGATTTCCAAAAGGTTTTAGGTAACTCTATTCAACTCTGCAAGTATCAAATTTTATGCTGTTGGCTTAAACTTAACCGAATGTGCTGTTTTCCTTTGACGTATATACATGATTGCAAGCTTCCATGAGGAAACGCATAGTTTATGTCATTTTTGCGAAAAACTCGTAATTAGAGAGTGAAAGAATATCTATAAGCTGTAATAAAAACTTTACTTAGATCATCAAGATTTGCTTTACCTTCGTCTAATTCTTGTTCGTATTCTTTATCATGTAGAGAAGTAGTCATTGTTTGAAGGGACGTCGACGAATACTTTGGAATTCCAACAGTTGTAAGTAGTGGATCGGATCTTTGATTAATAATTTGTTCAAGCATATCATGCAAATGAACATTTCCTAGATTTGTATTAGATGGTTCATTGAGAGTTTGTAATTTTTCTTTTAAATAAAAACAAAATTAAATATATTATTAAATCTTTCATATTATAGTTCGTGAAATAATATCAAAATATGAAATCTATTCATGATGACTATTCTCTTGAATTGTATAGAAAAAATAACGCTAATATAATTACCATTAAAAAATGTTACTTTTGTTTTTTCTATTGACGAATATGGATTAATTAGAGATATTGATCGAACTTCATCAATATATTCAGTTGAAATAGGTGAATCTATATTAAAATGATATAATCAATTTGAATTGTTTCGATCAACTTACGAATGATATCCGTAGTTATCGTAGGATGAAGATTATTGATGGAATGATCAACAACAGTTTTGAAATTTTCGTTAGATTCTACGAACAAAAACAAAAACATTCTACATTTCTTAAATCTCTTCATACTTAATAAATGAGGTCGTTCCATCGATAGTGATGAAGATATGTTATCATCAGATCGATCTAAAATTTTATTAGAAAAATGATTAGTTTCAATAGAATTCTCTAAGAAATTTTCTAATAATTAATCTTCTTTCGTCAAAGACGATATATTTTTCGATAAGTTTGCCTCCAAATATAGATAACTCAGCAAGGTTCAGAAAATAATTAACAATCTATTTAAGGTTAAGAAATATAATACATGAGTATTTTAATAAATTCAAAATATAAATGTCAACGGTCAATTACAGTTTACCGACGAGATCATCTATGAATCCATTCTATGGGATTAATCTTCACTTCTCATATGCTAGCCGATTTTCGTGGGTATGCTATATATGATAGAGGTTTGTGGAAAGTAAAATGGAAATCACGCTTCTGTTAAACATGCGACTAGTTGTCGCTAGATCAATGAACTTATTATAACAAAATTTTAAATTATTTCCACTGAAATCTCTGACTAGCAAACTAATTCATTGCTCAAAATGAGGATAAAACAGTCATACCGTTAGAAACTTCTATCATTAGTCAAAATTGATCCTTACAATAAGAGATGTAAATAAAAGAAAAGACATCAAGTTTGTCAAATACCTTTACTTTCAGATATAAATCGATGATGAATATGATCTGATGATAAACTTATTTTGTTGAGTTTCGAGTTAATAATAGATTCTTGTTTGTCTATTCCATCAATAGTTGATGTCATTTTAAACGATTGATCAATTGGTAGATTGGATGGAAGTATAGTTCCTAAATTCAAATCATAATAGTTGTCTTCATTAACTCTCAGATTCTCGTTGTTGACGTTCGGATCATAATCAACAATAAACTTCATGTTTTGTTCTTCTTGGTGATCTGTAACTTCTGTTTGTAAAGGAAAATTTTCGTCACAATTTAATAATAACTCGCTATCATTCGAGATTATACTTTCATCATCTATTGAAATACTGAGATTATTTACAAACTAGTTTATCAATGAAAATAATTACCATAAGTATTCGATATGAATGTTTTCTCTAGAGAAAATATTTTTTTTTGTTCAAAATAATGACACATTCCAGATTTTCAAACCTTCAAGTATTGCTTGATTTGTTGATGATAATGTTTCAAATGCTTGGTTACTCAATGAATCAACTTTTTCATATTTATGTATACTACCAGAATTTTCATCTAGATCTTTCATATTATCACGTTTTTGTCTCATGATAATGTGATGTTCATTATCTTTACTTGAATATTTTTTATTTAAAAAATTAGTAAAATCATCTGAAATTCTTGATTGATCATGATCAAAAAGAGCTTCTAAATGATATTAGAATTACTGTACCAAAAAAAAAATTAATAGATAAAAATCTCAAACTTTCTTGATCCTTGCCATTATCAATACATCTTATATTCAATGATGTTTTATTTCTCCAGAGATTTACATTATCTGATTCTAGAATTATTAATGGTAGACTTGGTATTTGTATAAAGGACATTCTTATCATATAGTTAATTAATATTATAATACACGCTGGTATGATATTGAATACTATTGTTACTTCTAATGGACTTTGATATATTATACAATTTGTAAGTTCATTTAAGAACGAAATTTTCAATTTAATATTACTACTATATTCATTTTCTTGTTTTAATGTATGAATAGGTATTAAAATTGTGTTTGAGGATTGTTTGAAATTCTTATAAAGACTTGATTTATTATGATTTTCAATGGATATAAATGAATTCGTAATTCGTTTTTGTTCATTTCGAAAATCTAATTCATCGTTTGAGATACGTCGATATAAACAAGTTTGTGAATCTTTTTCTTTCAAATTTAGTATAGATTTATTTGATTGATTAATTGTATTAGTACCTTGAACGATTAATAATATCTTTTATTCAAAACTATAAAATTAATTTTACCAAAAGAAATGAATGAATCATGTAGTTTTTTATTTGAATGAATATTTTTGTTAGATATTTTTTGAATAGTAATAGATATATTTGTTTTATTATCTTTTCGAGATTTTAATTGAGTAATAGATTGAGGATTGATTGAATTTATATGATATCGTTTTTGAATATTGTTATAGTTGACTTGAGGATTACATGAAAAAGGAAAATGACGATAACAAATAGATTGGTTTGTTTTTTGATGTCGATATGTTTTTGTTTGATAATGAGAACGAATTCGATTATGTCTATATGAATAGTTTATTGAATGTCTCTAATAAAATAGAATTTTAACTAACCGATGTGCAGCAATTTGACAGTCTATTAATTTAATGGAAATATTCGATGAATTAGAAGAATTTTTATTTGTTAAATGATATTTATATTTTGATGGTTTATTAATATAATCATTTTGATATTTGAATATATTTGATGTTGATAAACAATCGAGATTGTTTATCGGTTTAGTTTTATTTTGACCGAGATTTTTCATTACATGAGATAAAATATTCGTCGGTGTAAATTGATCTATGTCATCTCTCATTCTAATATATATGATGAATAACATCGATGAAATGTCTCTTTAGAAAAATACGCTGATGTTGATCGATCATAAGTTTATCCAGAACATGTACGAATATGAATTGCAGATGAAATTAGATTTGATAAAAATGGTACTGGAAATTCAAAATTTTAGAGAATTTTTGTTTTCGATTTATTTAGTGTCGGTGGATAGAGCATATCGAGTTACCAACGAAAAACTACTTTTCCAATTTTTGAAAAAAAAATTTTTCTTGAAATATTAGAAAAACACTAAATTCTAAATATAATGATTAGAGTCATCTATTATCACAAATATATTATTTCCACTTTGTAGAATATTATATAGATCATTTCCTGATTCTGCAGATAGAATTGACAAAAAAATCTTATGCCATAAAGTTTTTTCAGTCAATTTTATCTGCAGAATCAGGAAATCATTTTCTTCCAATATTTCAAGAAAAGATTTATTTTCAAAAATTGAAAAAGTAGTGTTTCATCGATAACTCGATGTGCTCTAAGCAATGACACTAGATCAATTGAAAAAAAGTGATTTTGAAATCATACTGAAATGATGGGATTATAGTTTATGGAATATTAATCAATGATTTTTTGTTATGTATAGATGACGAACTATTATTAATTGTAAATAATTGAATTTCATTGGAAATATCTTGTCTACAAATTAAATTCTAATGAAATTTAATGGGTCTTAATGTTGACTTGTAAAATTATTTTTTCATTGATAAATATTTTCCCTTGAAAAACAAAATATTTATAATACATACGACTTTCTTTCACGTCGTAGTTTAGTGGATTAAGGATATTTTAATCGTTGTTTACATTTATTAATATAATATTGTAAATATTGAATAATATTTATTGCTGAATTATATAAATTATTTTGTTTATTAGAAAAAATAAGATATGACTCGAATAATTCGTTTGTCTGTTTTAAATAAATATAAATTAAAAAAAATTATGACATCTTTTAATTTTAATTTGTTACGAATATGATTGATTATCGTTGTTAATCGATTCATATTCGATGTAAAATCATAGCTTTTGGAGCGAAATCTAAATATTATGTTCGAAATTTTTTCTTATTAGTAATTCTTGAAAACACGTTTAAACGTCCTAAACATAGTTCTCGTTTAAGTATCATCATATTCATTTAGAAAATGCCAAAACCAGCTACTTTTCATCATAAAAACTGCATGAAGACGCTTAAAAAAGCAACTTTTCTATCTGGAAAACGTCCAAAAATTTTGACGTGCTTTGCAGATAAAAATGACTTTTTTTTCTGTCCCATGTATGTTAAAAATTAAGTGAGAAAACTTTTTGGACATCCTCCAGATGGAAAAGCTGCCTTTTAAAGAAACTTCATGCACTTTTTATGATGCAAAGTAACTAATTTTGATGCTTTAGAAATGCACATGAAAACGCTCAAATATGAACTGCAATGAGAGAATTTCCAGAAATTCTTGTCTGGTTGAGTAGACACTAATAAATTTACAAGATTATTTTTATTGAAATTACAAATGTATGAAATTTAATAAAATCTGAAAATTTTAGATATAGTAATCTATGTTAATCATATATTTTAATAGACAGATTTATAAAGAAAAATTATCTATATTGATATATGAAAAACAATTTGTTTAATTGACAAATGATGAATTCTTATGTAATATATCTTTTATTTGGCCTAGTTCGTCATTTGTCTTTTGTTGTTGGTTAATAATATTCGTAACTGGATTGGACTTTTTTTTTTGACGTAGTTGTGGGCAGTCATCCTTATCGAATAATATACTATTGGTGATATTTGTTTGTTTTGACGATGAGTAATAGTTAGGACAGAGCAAAAAGATTCATAAGGAGAAATATACTTTCATAAACATCAATAATAATCATAGTCATTTAGTTTATGACGACCTACCTTATATTACACAGCTTCTATTATTATTACTATTGCTCGCTGTCTTTGCACACTTATATATTGCATCATACATAGTCAGATAAGTTGAATTTGTTGATTATTTATTTATTTTTAATTGTTGTTTACATTTTTATTAAGAGAAAAAGAGATTCGACTTTTGTTTTTTAGTCTTTCTCATTGATGAAGTTCTTTTATAAAATATCGATTAGGAAAAATTAATTTTCTTTTAGAATATGTTCATTCGAATAAATAATAATTTTTTTTTTCTAGTTAATATATACCATAATTCTGTAAGAATCATTTTTTTAAGTATGTGTTTTTAATTAGGTTTGTTTTTAATGAATAAGACATTTAATTTTCTATACGTTCGAAACTTGATATTATATTTTGTATATGAAGATTTTTATTATAACTATTCGATGTATTAAACTCATTATTACAAATTATTAATTTTCTCAACAAACAATGAATAGAATCTTATAGTTAATTTAATCCTTTACCCCTCTTATAAAAGTTCCAAAAGAGTCACTGACAAAATAACTTTAAAAATAAATTATTAGTGTGTCTAACATGTTAATGATGTGGTCTGATTCATCAAGTATCTATATCTTTATGTCGGACGATTTGATTCGTCCAATGATTGCATGGTAGAGAAAGGAAATTTAGCGATGTATTAAACCTTGTTTTTTTTTTCTTCGATCACATCATTGAGTGGGTAAAAGCAATATCAATCGTATGCTATTGTAATAATAGGAAAAAGGTAAGAGTGAATTGATAAAAAACAATGTCAATAGAACACGTGCTTTTGATATATCTTGTTCAAGTGAACAACTACTTTGCGTTGACTCATTTTATAGTCAACTTCTCATCAACTGAGGTTTATAATACATATATTAACATCGTTCTTGATTGTTTAATAATGGCTTCATGGTAAATCTCATATGCATGAGTATGTTTAATTTACCAAGTTATCATGAAGCTTTCAAAAAAATATCTAACTTACTAGTTGACTTCTTCATCAATTTAAATCACAAAGAAATTCCGACAGATCTCTATTGAGTGTAGGTAGAGAACATTTCATTTCGAAAACATCGATTTTGTAGACCCGATAGTTCAAAGGTAGAGCGATGAAAAAAACTATTCTTTTTCCCAGTTAATAGCCCATGAAGTTCACTACAAAAAAATATTCTTACCATTTTCAAATTTCATGCCTTCTTTATTTTCTGCAATTGTTCTATAAATGGTAACTCCAGTAATCAACATGAGGATAAAAGGTTAAAGAAATTCTTTTATTAGAAAATTCGTATCGTGATTAAGATACACTTCTATTTTATGAAACACAATCTAAGAGAAAAACGGAAGTACAGAAGAAAAAATTGTCATCATCATGACTGACACGCCATTATAGACATCTAAAAGCAATACCTTTTTTTTCCATCACAGACGATCATGTGCATTTTAGTATTTCTATTTCTTTCTTACAGATCATGACACACTAACTTACGAGACTGAATTCTACAATAGGATTATAGTATGAAATCAAATTAAATTTAAGATGATTATCTTTTGACTTTTATTTTTTTCTTTCAATGTTACTGTGATATTTTATAATTAACATCTTTCATAATTCATGTGTATGAACAATAGTTGATAATCCATACATCAAAACCTTTCTTGACTTTTTTTTATATCATAGAAATTATGCTAGGAAATTTTTACATAGGAAATAATGTTAAATAAACTTTAGTTAAATATTTTTAGGCAGAAATATAACAACAAATTTCTAGAAAGTTCTGTTAAACTAACAGATTTCATCATTCTTCGTGATCAAACTGTTGTAAAAACAAATTCTCTATGACCTTTTTCGGAAGTTAACATGCGTAAAATATTGCATTGGAACATAAGCACATATATTTCTATTCAACTGTAAAATGTAGATGAGGCAAAAATGAAAAAAAATAATGAAGTAAGTACATATTGATTAACTGGAGGAAAAAAGAACAAAAAAGAAAATATGAATATTATTTTTTATTTCATTTCGAATCGAATGCAAAAAAGGGTAGGCAAAATGAAAATCAAACAATTTGATTTTAGTATGAATCACACTTATATATTCAATACTTTTTTTCTCGTAGTTTGTGTTCGATTAAATAAAATTCTAATGTAAATCTGAAAATAGAAAATTAATATTTGAAAATCACTAAAAGTTGATTAATATAGCTTTAAAAAAACCATTGAAGTTTATAATTTTGAATTTTGTTTTTTTGTAAGTTTTAATGAATAATAAATTTTATTTTCTAAAAGAATTTCAATAATTTGTTTAAGATTATTAATTAATTGACATATGAAATTACTTTTTATTTTTTATCTTTATTCTGTTAACACATCCTCTTGTAAACTTTTATGAATAGTTCTTGTCCTGTTATTATTATTTTTTTCACGTTGTGAAAATATGAATCTTGAAATATGAGATTACGAACTGAAAAAAGAAACGTAACGTAAACTGATGATAAAAAAAAACAAATTCGTGATGACGTGCGCAATTATTCACACTTATTGTCCTTGAAAACACACTTTATCCGAACATCGCAATAATATATATAATGAGCTTCAATGTATGTATACAATAAAAAGCATATAATCTATAGCTCTGACACTGCTGAAAAGAAAACTAAATGATCATCGTGTTGACGAGAAACTAATCGTTTTAATTACAGTAACAAGTAAAGAATGTCAGACGGTCCGTTTGATTGATATGTCCCTTTCTTTCGTCTTTTCTTTTTGAGAAGGCACCAGCTTGCTTTTATTTAATGTTTACTATAAATATATGCAAATATTTTAATACTTCTTGACCTGGTTTATACTATCATGTTCTTACTATGATTTAACTAACGCATGCTTTTTTGTTGCCTTTTGAAATTGTTATTTTATTGATTCGCCTATGAAATAGAAGAAAAATAAGGATGGTTAAGGACATATAAATTTTTATGACTTTTCTTCATCCATTTATATGA